CTGCATTGAACACACTCCTGACCATCTCACAGAGTGAAAACTCACCTGCATTGAACACACTCCTGACCATCTCACAGAGTGAAAACTCACCTGAACCAACATGAAGGTTCTGCTGTCTGTCACAATGATGGAAATATCAGACAAAGTTTGTCACTGGGTCACACAAATTCCTGAAGGAGGATGAACCACAAGGCTGGATTATTGGGAGTGTTTTAAAGGAGGAAAGCGAGGGCGGGGTGTGGAGGTTTTAGGGAGGGGAAATTCTCGAGCTGCGAGGTCCAGGCAGCTGAAGGCACGGCCCCTGATGATGCAGCACCAGGTATTGGGGAATTCCTGAGAGGGCAGGTAGGTGGAGTGCAGAGATTTCGGAGGGTTGTGAAGCTGGAGGAGGTTATGGAGATCCAGAGGGGAGAAGCTGTGGGCGCTTTGGGAAATGGAGGTGCTGTTTGGCAGGGAGCCAAACGGAGTCCCCTGCACCCCCCCACTGTCCTTCCCTTCCCTTCTCCCCTGCCCTGCCCAGTATTGTCCTCCCTGGGTCCTGCTAAGCAGTGGGTGAGGTGCTGATTGTAGCTGTTGTCTGTCTCTCTCTCTCTCCCCCCTCCCTGCCCCCCCCCCCCCCCCCCCACATGCAGGTGACTTTGTGATACTGCTGAATGCTGGCATGAGCCTCCAACAAGCTCTCTTCTTTAACTTCCTGTCGGCCTGCTGCTGCTACCTGGGTCTTGCCTTTGGTATCCTCGCTGGCAGCCACTTCTCTGCCAACTGGATCTTTGCTCTGGCTGGTGGAATGTTTCTCTACATCGCACTGGCAGACATGGTGAGTCAGGGCCTTCACGATGACAGTGGTTTCTGGGCAAGGACGAGGACATATCTGGGCTGGATCTGGAGTCACCTGTAGGCCATACCTGGCACATTTCCTGATCAGAGGGCATGAAGGAAGCAGAAGGGAGTTAATCCAGTGGATTCATCATCTCCAGGATTGAGACAAGCTTTAAATTTCAGATTTATGGAGTTCCCCTGATGTGGGGTTTGAACTCGGGTCTCTGGATCACTCATCCAGATGCTAAGTGCTGGGGAGTCGTCAGCGTGAGAGACGATGATGGAGAGCAAGGAAAGGGCATGTTTACTGAATCAGGATTCATTCCTGGAGTCAGCAATTGAAGCTGAGATCAGGCCAGCATATAAAAATGGATCAGATCAATGGCTAAGCCAAGGTTGGATAACAGGATATAGGAAAAGGGGGTTACAATAGATCAGGGATAAACACTGACGGACCTAGGCTGGATGGGCCAAAGGGCCTGTTTTTGTCTCAAAGTTACTGAATGTGTGTCTGTGCAGCATCACTAGACTTTGGATGACTGACACAGGCCAGAGGCTCCATGATTATGTTTGTCAGTGCCCCTGCATGGTGGACTGTGGTGACTGAGAAGGAGCCGCACTCCTTCAGACAAGTTCAGCGAGTTGACCCCGTGGTTGTATGCCTTGCCCATCTCACCCTGTCTCCCTCCACAGTTCCCAGAGATGAATGAGGTGAGCAAAGGAGAGGACGGGGAAGAGTCGACCTCGCTGTTGGTGTTTGGCATCCAGAACGCCGGCCTGCTCACTGGATTTACCATCATGTTGCTGCTCACCATGTACTCGGGCTCAATCCAAATCGGATAGGCTTCGGCCGGCCCTGGGACACAATGGGCACCCAAAGCCATGGCAGCTCGGAGGGGAGGCAGGCAACTTTCTCAGCACAGACACCACAGCAAACAGAGGGGCACAATAGCTGGCCCAGGCTTAAGATTACTGCAACAAAGGTAGCCTATCTTTTCGAAACCTGCTCTTTGTAAAAGGTAATCTCCTCAGGCTACTTAGCAACAAATTCATTCCAGTTCACTAATAGTCCAAGAAGCTGATTCCCTGTAGGGTTTAGAAGGCCAAGTTTCCCCTCCACAATCAGTGTTATGTGGCATTGTCTCAATTAGCCATCAGTCTTAGGCCTTCCAAGTCAAGATGAGGAAACAAGAACAATCTCCACGTGGAATAAGCACATTGGAGACAAAGTGGGGGGGAGTTAAGTTGCTGCCAGACTTTAACACAGGCCTGTCACAATCAGAGCTGGGCGTCCTGTTCAAAATAACACACATTTTGACCAAACTTATCTTGTCACTCCAAGATCTTTAACAATACCAGTAGGACAAAGTCTGATTGGAGAGGACACTTTCATCAGGTAACTGGGAAATCCCAGCTTCTCACAGGGACATCAGAGCCACAGGAGAACCCAGGACAGGCCTGGACAGGCCTTATAGCCAAAGATCTTGTGGCCCTGCTTTTATCCCCTTGTGTTTCTTCCTCTTAATCCTCATGACCCTTTGAAAATCATGGTGCTGATTCCACTGGTATCTCTACGGGAGGGTCTGTCATGTCTCCTATCTCTTGGCACACAGGTAGAGAGGGATGATGTTCAGTGGTCAACCAGAAGTCTTGAGTAGAGCCGAAAAAGAGACTTGCAACCAAAACATTTCAACTTGCACTTATCAGGACAGACAAAAGAATGCCGAATTTCATGGGAAACAAGGCGTTACACTGCATGAGAAGCGGGTGCCAGTTCATTGGCAAGTGGACAGTGATCGGTAAAGGTGTTGCCATTAGAGATTGGGGAACAGTTAACTGCCAAGCTTTTCTGCACGTGAAAAGGATTTAATTCCTGGACACGTTCTTTCGGCTGGTGAAGTTCAGAGTCCTGCATATGAACATCAGGAAGTGAACCTCACTGCAAGCCTGTGTGGTAATTGGTGGTTTCAGTCATTCTCGGCTCACACCATGATTGTTCAGCAAGTCCTGTTCAGTTGTGAAACTACATCTAACGATGGGTGTAATGTTCCGAGTTCTGCAAAAGCTCAGGCACAACTGTTTCCCTTTACATTCTCCATGGAAACACCTTCATCAACCAGTCTCAACGTTTTTCCTCAAGCAGTATAAATTGTTGTTCCCTTTCCGATTGGCATGCTTGCTCTGTCCTGAGATATACAAGATGAGATGTTTTCTCAGCACATTTAATTGTTTCAGCAGTACTCAAGTTCTGAACCACCAAGAGACTTCCAAATCTTGTTTTGATGGGTCACTTAGAGGACTGTGTGTGTGGTGGACTGAGGGGATTTGTCCATAATCCCCCCTCTTGATGATTCGATTCATGGAGATTGAAGTCCCCAGCCCAGGACCTCCATAGTCTACAGTGTTACAGTGAGTGTGTTCACTGTTGTGTTGTGCTTTCTCTGTCAGACTGACTCCCCGCAGCGCTTAGATTTTCCAAAGAAATACTGCCAGCTCTGCATATGTGGGGCTTTATTTAATCTGTTCTCCATCTCTCTCTGTCCCCACACTCGCTCATCACTCACCCACCAGCATGAACTGGTCAATGGTCAGTCCGAAGAGTTCTCCATGAGCAATGTTGGCCAGAAGAATTTCTAATGGAATCTAACTGTCGGAGTGAAATCTCTTGGGTAAATATCAAGTACAGTTTGATTCCAGACCTGACTCCCTCCTCCAGTCCCTGACCTCTCACACATCTCAAACCCTGACGTCAAACACCTGAGATAAGACCAATTGCTTGAGTAAAGGCAGTAAATGGAGTCAGGAAGAGCTTGTGGATGGACTCACTCTCCTCCCTGGGGATGGAGTGGGGCATGGGGGTCTTCCTGATTCAGACCTGTCCTGGGATATCCAGTCATGTCCTGTGGCTCTGGTTACTATTAGCTCAACAGCACCTTCTCCTCCCTGATTTGAAATTCAGACAATGAAGTGGAATCATAAGGATAACCATGCCCCCACAGTTTGTTGTATCCAGGCAGCAGGTATGCTGATGAGCTGTATACAGACAGTGGGGCTATCCAGAGGGGGTGTAGGTTAATGGGTGACCAAGGGACCTGATGCCACATAGCAATGAACCATTCGACAACATCAGTCTGCTGAAAATGAAAACGTGTTTAGCCCTGTGTTCCCCTCCTCACTATGTTTAGAAGCCATTTGTTGTAATGTGAAAATGTCTGAGCTTAATGACACTAAACTGTACAACCTTGCAATGAGGAAGAAACCAAATACCCAGGTATAGCCGTGCTGTTCGGAAAGAACCAACATGGATTGCTGCTTCCATGCTTTTTTCTGTCAAATCAGCAAGAATAGTCCTGGACCATGTGGAAAAGTGTTTTCAAACAGAACGTTTTCTCATTGCTCAAGTCGCAATGATGGAGACTGTGGGATTTGAATTCAGCTTACCATCGGAGGATTTATTCTGTCTTTGAAATTTTGACAGCAACACCTTCCTGAGAAAGGTACCTTGAAGCAGGGTAATAAATGCCCCTTACACCTGTCTGGAGGTGGGAAGGGAAGAGTCATGGCTTCCCAGGACACCACACCTTATCCCTCCACACCTTAAGGGGTGGTCAGCCAGGGGAGCTGCTGTATTGGGGTATGATGGTTCAGGAGGTCCTGTTTTCCTGGAAAGTTGCGGATTGACAGACAGCAGCAGGATCCTCTGACCTCCAACATCCAGCATTTCTGGAAGGGCCCCTGACTTGAAAAGGTCTTTGCTGGATCAAAGGCCCATTCACAGCCGGGGGGATCTGGCTCTGGGAACTGGCTACAGAGACGATGTCGTGTGATATGCAACACGTTCCCAGCGACTTGATACCAAAATGACAAGCACACCTTACTGACCATGGATCGGGTTGTAAATTATTCACTGTACAGTAAACTTAGGACTTGGAAGTTTGGAATAAAATTGAGCTGATTGGTTGACTTGTAATCAGAGAATCGAGCAGTGGCCCATCTTGACTTCTTGCTCTTTGAAAGACTGGTCCAATTTATCCCCTTCCACGATTCTGTTGTTACAGTCCTGTAATTTCTGTCTTATTAAATAGTGATCCAGTTCTCTCTTTGTAGAACCTACCAAAGGATCCAGTGACATACACCTGAAATTTAAAAAAGCTGCATTCTGGTTTCCTTGTCAGTGTTTGACCAGATATTTCTTTTTGCCAAAAATCAGGACGAAGAGAAATACTGACAATTGCCTTCCTTTCTCAGACGTAGAGTTTACTTCGTGTCTTTATGATAAACCCAACAAGTATACTGAGATCTGGGAACTTCTCCATTCGGTTCACTCAAACCAGGAGATGCCCTCTGCCGCAGTTCTCCTGAACTGTGTCTCGCATGAGGGTAAAATGGAGGGGATACCCTCGGACCGAATCCCCAGGCTCCGAATCCTACCAAGTAGTGAGCTGGGCCTTCTCAAACGCCAATAATGACAACACCCAAAGCTGTTTGTTCAGTCAACATCACCAACCCAACCTTCAGCCCACAACCCCGATCCTAAACCTCACCTCCCTGATCCCATCCTTATGACTTGCTGTATTTGTAAATCCTGCTCAAGAGTCAGAAAACAAACTTCCCTTTACTTCTCCAAAGTCACACTCCTGGATTCTTTCACACCCACCCAATGGGACGGACAGTTGGTTTAAGAACTCATCTACAAAGTTCCTGACAGTGTGGCACTCCCTCGGCCCTGACCCTCCAACGGTACGACCCTCCCTCAGTACTGACCCTCTGACTGCGGCGCTCCCTCAGTACTGACCCTCCGACAGTGCAGTGCTCCCTCAGCACTGACCCTCCGACAGTGTGGCACTCCTTCACTACTGACTCTCCGACAGTGCAGTGCTCCCTCAGTACTGACCCTCTGACAGTGTGGCACTCCTTCAGTACTGACCCTCTGACAGTGCGAGCCTGGAGTTTTGTCATAGAGTTTCATCATAGAGTTTCTAACATGGGGTTTTAACCATGAAGTGCTGATCCTGAGAATATTTTTGCTGTCAACTCTGCCTCTGTTATCATTTCTCTGTCGAACAGGGCAGTCTGGCAGTGAGAAAACATGTGAGCTCCTGCGTGACTCCATGTTGTTTATTTGACGGTTACCATTAGCTACAATGCTATTTTTTTAAAATCCAAACAGAAAATCCAGGGTTCTGGAAATGAACCAATGCACAATGAAATATATTTGCCCAGGGGAATACTGGTCACTTTAAACGAAAAGTAATGCTTCCTTGCTACTGTCCTCATCAAATAATCCCTGGACAATTAGACAAGAACTGGGGAATATGGATTGGGAGCAGTTATTTGAGGGCAAATCTATATCTGGCATGTGGCAGGCTTGTAAAGACCAAGTTGACTAAAGAGCAGGACATGCATACCCCTGCAAAACTGAAGGATAGGAATGGCAGGATCCAGGAATCATGGATGACAAGGGAAATTGTAAACTTAGTCAAAAGGAAAAGGGAACTACATGATAGGTCTAGGCAGCTACAAACTGACAAAACCCTTGAGTAGTATAGAGCAATGAGGAAGGAAATTAAACACAGAATTAGGAAGGCTAAAGGAGCCATGAAATGTTTCTAGCAAACAGTAAGGAGAATCCCAAGGCTTTTTATGCATATATTAGAAGAAGGAGGGTAGCAAGGGAAAGAGTAGCCCCCCCGAAGGACAAAAGAGGGAAGTTATGCATGGAGCCACAGGAAGTGGGAGAGATCCTTAATGAGTACTTTGTATCAGTATTCACCGAGAAGAACATGACTGATGTTAAGGTCAGGGATGAGTGTGTGAATACTCTAGAGAATGTCAGTAAAGTGAAGGACGAAGTTTTGGGTATCCTAAATTGCATTAAGGTAGACAAGTCCCCAGGGCCAGATGGGATCTATCCCAGGTTGCTGTGAGAGGCAAGGGAAGAAATAGCTGGGGCATTAGCAGATATCTTCACATCCTCCTTGACCACAGGCGAGGTTCCAGAGGATTGGAGGTTAGCCAATGTTGTTCCCTTGTTTAAGAAAGGAAGCAGGGATAATCCAGGAAATTATAGGCCGGTGAGTCTGAAATCTTTGGTGGGGAAGCTCTTGGAGAAGATACTGAGGGACAAGATATATGCACATTTGGAAGAAAATGGACTAGTTAGTGACAAGCAGCATGGTTTTGCACAGGAAAGGTCATGTCCCAACATGATCGAACTTTTTGAAGAGGTGACAAAGATAATTGATGAGGGAAGAGCTGTGGATGTATTTTGTGTGGACTTTAATAAAGCATTTGATAAAGTCCCACATGGCAGATGGTACAAAAACTAAAATAACATGGGATTCAGGGTGGGCTGGCGAGATGGATACAAAACTGGCTTGGTCGTAGAAGACAGAGGGTAGCGGTAGAAGGATGTTTTTCAGAATGGAGACCGGTAACTAGTGGTGTTCCACAGAGATCGGTCTTGGGTCCTGTATTGTTTGTAGTATACATAAATGATCTGGAGGAAAATGTGGATGGCCTGATTAGTAAGTTTGCAGATGACACGAAGATTGGTGGAGTTGCTGATAGTGCCAACGATTGTGAAAGGATACAACAGGATATAGACAGATTGGCAGGTTGGGCACAGAAATGGCAGATGGAGTTTAATCCAGACAAATGCGAGGTGATGCATTTTGGAGGATCAAATTTAGGAGTGAATTATACAGTAAATGGCAGAACCCTTAGGAACATTAACATACAGACAGATCTGGGTGTGCAGGTCCACAGTTCCCTAAAAAGTGGCAATACAGGTGGCCAAGGTGATTAAGAAGGCATATGGCATGCTTGCCTTCATCGGCCGGGGAATGGAGTACAAGAGTTGGCAAACCATGTTGCAGCTATATAAACATCTTGTTAGGCCATATTTGGAGTATTGTGTGCAGTTTTGGTCACCACATTACCAGAAAAACATGGAAGCTTTGGGGAAAGTGCAGAGAAGGTTGCCCAGTCTCGAGGGCATTGGCTATGAAGAAAGGTTAAAAAGATGAGGTAGTAGGAACTGCAGATGCTGGAGAATCTGAGATAACAAAGCGTAGAGCTGGATGAACGCAGCAGGCCAAGCAGCATCAGAGGAGCAGGAAGGCTGACGTTTCGGGCCTAGACCCTTCTTAGAAATGGGGGAGGGGAAGGGGGTTCTGAAATAAATAGGGAGAGAAGGGGAGGCAGATAGAAGATGGATAGAGGGGAAGATAGGTGGAGAGGAGACAGACAGGTCAAAGAGGCAGGGATGGAGCCAGTAAAGGTGAGTGTAGGTGGGGAGTTAGGGAGGAGATAGGTCAGTCCAGGGAGGACGGACAGGTCAAGGAGGCGGGATGAGGTTAGTAGGTAGGAGATGGGGGTGGGGCTTGAGGTGGGAGGAAGGACAGGTTAGGGAGGCGGGGACGAGCTGGACTGGTTTTGGGATGCGGTAGGGGGAGGGGAGATTTTGAAGCTTGTGAAGTCCACATTGATACCATTGGGCTGCAGGGTTCCCAAGCGGAATATGAGGTACTGTTCCTGCAACCTTTGGGTAGCATCGTTGTGGCACTGCAGGAGGCCCAGGATGGACATGTCATCTGAGGAATGGGAAGGGGAGTTGAAATGGTTCGCGACTGGGAGGTGCAGTTGTTTAGTGTGGACCGAACGTAGGTGTTCAATTCAAGAGACATCAATCGCCTCAACCTCTCCACCTCTCTCACCCACTCTAACCTCTCCCCCGCAGAATGTGAGGAGGATAGTGTAGAAATTTGAGGGGACACTGACAAGTGGGCAGACTGATGGTGGATGAAGTTCAATGAGGAGAAGTGTGGGATGATTCATTTAAGTAGGAAAAATGAGGATTTTCAAAATTGAGGAGATGCAGGAGCAGAGGGGCCTGTGTGAAAAGATGCATAAATCATGGCAGGCAGCAGAGCTGACAGAGTGAGTAATGCACATTGCAGCCTAGGATTTATCAGTCAGGGCACTGGGTACAAAATCAGGCAGGTTATCATCAACTTGTATAAAAGTCAATTGTGGTGTTGCATGCAGTTCTGGGATCTGCACTGTAGGAAGGATGTGAAAGTGTTCAAAATAGTGCAGAAACCATTCACAAAAATGGCTCCATGAATGATGCACAGAATGGAAAGGTCCAGACTGTTCTCCTTAGAGAACAGAAGGTGGAGGAGATTTGACCAAAGAGTTCAAAAACAGCAGGTATCTGTACAGAGCAGACTGTTCCCATTCGTGGAAGGATCATGAACCAGAGGGCTCAGTTTGATGGTGAGTTGAAAGAAAGAAGCAACAGAGACTTCAGGAAAACTTTTAATGCAGTGAGTGGTTAGGATCTGGATACTGTCTGAGAGTGTGGAGGAGGCAGGTCTACTCGAGTGGTTAGGGTTCTGGAATATGGTGTCTGAGTGTGGGGGAGATAGGTTCAATCAAGGCTTTCAATTGGAAGTTAGATTATTACTGAGAAAGGGAAGAAGGTGCAAGGTTGCAGGAATCAGCCACCTTGTTAAAATGTAGGTACAACAAGCAATAGACAAAGTAGATGGAAGGTTAGACTATGCCAGAAGTGGTGCATAGTCAGGAGGAAGCTGTCCTGGGAGTCCTCAACATCACCAGGTGAAACATGAGCAAGGAATGTTCCTGCCAATTACCACAAAACCCCCCCGACTGATGATTCAGAATGCCTCGTTGCTAGTGGATACACCAACTCTGGTAAGGGTGCAGAAATTACTCTGTGTGTGTGTGTGTGTGTGTGTGTGTGTTGGGGGCGGGGGGTGGCGGGGGGCGCTTCAGTGTCCACCAGCAACAGCAGCACTACTCACCAAGCTGGTTCAGTCTAAAAATATATAGCTTGGAGTGTAGGTCTGTAACACGAAGTGACGGAACCAGCAAGAGGGAAAAACATACTGTTTCCTCATCACTTTGCCTTTCAGAATTGCAATTGTCCATGACAGTGTCAGC